CATCCAATCAATACCACCAGGCTTAGAGCTGTAATCACCAGAACACTAAAAAAGAAGTCCTCCGGCTCTTGATTGACTTGGCACCCAGGAAATCTTCAGGCTTTGCATACTTTATTCACAGTTGTTTTGGCACTGACCACAATCACAATTTTCCCATTGAACTTGGTCTACTGTCTTTAGAAGAGGGGCCTAAGTCTCTCTCAGAACTCTGGCTTTTAGCAGAAGTCTTCACTGGATTGGTAAGATCCATTTCCACTGGCAGCTTGTCATAGTCATGGTACTAGAGTTTTTTGGAAAGAACTGATTTGCCATGGAGATTAAAATTGGATGTCTCTGTGGATCAAGAGAAGCCTCAGAAGTTAAGAGGTTTTGTTTCTCTTGCAGAAGACCTGGGTTCAATTGCCATTACTCACAGGGTGGCCCACAACTATCCATATCACCAGTTCCTGGGTACCTGAAGCCCTCTTTTGATTTCTTGAGTACCAAACATGTATGCTATGCACATATGTACATGCAGACAAAACACTCATACAGAGAGAATAAAATAATAAATCTACAAACATTAAAATATTGGTTGTCCTTCAATCTCAGTAGACACAAGCATATTATTATTATTATTATTATTATTATTATTATTATTATTATTATTATTATTGGCTTTCTTCAGGATCCAACACTAATTTCAGAATAGACATGATAAGGATATCCTTTTCTTTATCTATGTTTACGTACATTGACAATGTACTGAATTGTTTGTTTTATATGAAACCAAGAGTGGTATAGTGCCCTCACTTGTGAAATTAAAAAAAAATATTTTCACAAAAATAAGGGGAGATCTTTCATTCTGAAAGAACAAGAATAAGAATGGAAACTACCTACTAAACATAAATAGTGAAAGATAAGACCATGGGTTATTTTGAAGGAAAATTATTCATTTACTTAAAATTGGATGCTCATAAAAGTATACTTTACAGTACATCTGAATTCAACAAATTTTAGGTTAGTATCTCTAAAAATAAGTATTTATTCACAGAGACTCTTGGCTGTTATTTTCCTTATAATTGATACACAATAAAGGAGTCTTTTATGAATGGAGGAACAAGGGAACCATTCTTAAAGGAAAATCTAGAGATAACCATGCTTCCTTATCAGCTCTGTTTAACTTCAAAGTTTATAATAACATAATAGAATTTTCTATAGGATAAAGTAAAACTTTTGATCAATCTTATACATGAATTTGCAGTTTAAGGAGCTGTCCCCTTTAATAATTAAAATGTAATTATTTGCAAAGTATGCTCAGATATTCCAAGATAATAATATGATATGAACAAAACTAACAGAGCATCAGATGTGCTTTCCTGAAACTCCAGCCCAGGGTTCTCTTATAATCCAGGCTGTGGTAGTCCAACAAATGATAGCTGATACAAATTCAGTGCCTGTGTTTCCATCCATTTCACTGGGAAATTTTTTTAACCCTATTCTTCCAGGGATGGCACAGGTGCTTGATGCTACAGCATGTCACTGAGCATAACTGGGTTCCAGATCACACATGTGGATGCTAGTTTTCCAAAAGTTTTGTGTGCATGGTCATCTAACCAGACTGGATTAAGTGAGTGAGGTCTCAGCTGAGCAACTTCCATGAAAACAGGAAGTGGATAAGGCTGCTAAAAGTTCTCTGAGAATGTTATAAACAGGCATCCTCAACACAGTTTTATCATGGGAGAAATATGCCTCCAACCACTCAGTAGAACATGCCTCACAGAGTGGATCAAATTATGCCAGTCTTCACAGAGATACATGGGTAAAACTCTAGGTTAGAGGTATACACCATGAAGGAGAAAAAGAAAAACAGAAATTTCCTTCCTTAACAGTGTAATGTCTATAAATAAGTAGATATTTCCCTGGATTAACCAAGTTTGCCATGCTTAAAGGGTCACAGGAATTTATAAGCCAAGAACTGCCTAGACTGTATCTTGCCATTTGCATACTTCAACCTCAGAAACCACAAATGGTTCACAGCTGTTTTAAAGAGATGGACTTATGAGGAGAGCAGTCATTGTCCTGAGACTGAGAGTAGAAACCACAATGGATTTTCAGGTGCAGATTTTCAGCTTCCTGCTACTCAGTGTCACAGGTAAGAGAGGGAAGGGCATTTGAGCTCAGAATCCACAATTATTTTCCCTAAGGAAGCTTGAGTCTAAGTAATATTTTTCATTTTCTTTCTTCTGAGTATCAGTTGGTATGAAATTATTTTTATATGTCTATTATATGTCTATGTCTACTAACATCTCTTTCTTTTCATTGTCTTCCCCTACTCAGTGTCCAATGGAGAGATTGTTCTCACCCAGTCTCCAGCATCCATGGCTGCATCTCAAGGGGAGAGGGTTACCATGACCTGTAGTGCCAGCTCAAGTATAAGCACCAGTTATTTGCACTGGTACCAGCAGAAGCCAGGAGGCTCCCCTAAGCTCCTGATTTATAGCACATCCAACCTGGCTTCTGGAGTCCCATCGAGGTTCAGTGGCAGTGGGTCTGGAACATCCTACTCTCTCACAATCAGCAGCATGGAGGCTGAAGATGCTGCCACTTACTACTGTCAGCAGTGGAGTACTAGCCCACCCACACAGTGCTACAGACTAGAACAAAAACACTTTACCTCCCTAGGGCCCAGCTGCTTCCTCCTAGTGTTGAAATGTGGCCAATGGTTTCATGGCAATAATCCACACAGGGTGCTTTATGCCCTGCTTTATAAGGCCAGTTGCATGTTTGGGTAACTTACTGTCTCCATAATATCCCACTGTACTTCAGTGCAGCTCTCAAGTTGGCCAGTGTTTGTTTATTTTTTGTTTTAGTTCTGTTTGTTGAAGGAAAGTGTAGCAGGCACTTCTCAGCTATTTTACTGGAGTTTTTCAGGAGCCTTCATACCTTGTTTCTTCTACCTACACTGATTTCAGGATCTTCTCTGGCATTTATCCTTCGGGGCGACCAGTTACTAAAAGTAAACTGCCCTTGTTATTCTACTAAAAGTAGGATCCATCTTTCTCTATCTTCTGATTTTCATTAACAAACTGTCTTTCCCACTGAAAGTGTCCCATCAATTTATGCTTGAAGTGATTTTATGACAAGGAATGGTATAGCTAGCTCACCTTGGAGATTCATTTTTATATTTTTGTGAATCGTTCACACTAATTTCCATGGTACTGCATCAGTTTGCTATACCACCAACAATGAAAGGGGGTTTCCTTTTCCTCACATCCTCTCCAGCATTTGTGGTTGGTTATTTCATTGATCTTTGCCATTCCCATTTGTACATTGGTTCTCACCTGCATAGAGGTCAGAAATGGCTTGGATAAAATGAAGTCAAATGAATGGAAGGAACTGGGTTGGAATATAGGATGTGCTTCCTGTTCTAAGTCTGGATCATGGTGGTAGATCTAAATGGAAAGTTCAGATATGACTTGGGAGAGTTCTGTGGTTTAGCAGGCAAGTAGGGAATGTATTGATTCAAGCTTAACACTTCTCAGCAGGAAGGCAGGAAAGGCTGATCTATTGGTTGTGGGTTTCAAGATAAGTTGTGTAGGTTGTAAAAATGGTGTGGACGAGAAGTTCCTGGGGATCTACCATGCTAGACTCTGGAGTAAACGTGGGAAGATGTGGGAAATTGTGTTTTAGAATGAGGTGGTGGTGGCAGTGCAAAGGGTCCTGTGGTTGGATGCAGATTGAGTGTCATGGCTCAAGCCTAGAGGTTGTTTGTGGTACAGGAGAATGAGGTTGAACTAGGTATGTGCACAGGGTGTGGGACCTTGTTGAAGCCTAGAGTTAGGCTGTAGCAAGGTTCAGGTGGCTAGACTAGGCTTAGGCACTGGCTGTGGGAATGTGGCTAGATCTGGTAGATAGTAGAAAACTGACCCGTCCAGCAGGCCAGGTTATTCAAGGGTCTCGAGGAGGGACCACCTAGGAATCAATGGGGGGCGAGAGGGAAAGGAGACCAAGTGCGTGAAGAAAGAGAGTCAGTCTGAGTTGTGTCAAGGTCTCAGTTTATTGACTGGGTGTTAGAGCTTATAAACAGGGCTTCAGGTAGGGAGGGGGAGCAGGAGGAGTGAGGAGAGGACAAAGAAAATTCCTAAGGGAGGGTCAGCAGGAGGTCGCTTTGGTCCCAGGCCCTTGCAGCTAGCTGATTTAGTACAGGCTCCAAGAATTTTATTAATCCTACATTCCTAGGTTAGACTAAAAGCCTCCTATTTACATGAGGCTTGATAAATCGTGGAAGGTTACACAGGTTCAAGACACAGCTGTCCAGAGTCGGTCCCCAACAGTTCCCCCTCTTTTCTCAAAAATGGACCAAGTCCATCTGATGGGGTGGCGGAGGTCCGAGAGAGCCTCTGTCTTAGGCTATACAGGGGGACTCCCACGCACAGCAGGTGCCATGTTGAGCCATGTTGAGCCGGTCTCAACGACCTCTGTACGCTGTTGTCTCCTGCGTGGGCCCTGTACTATTCCCATCATTGAGTACTCTCTAGCAAGACCGTGGGGATGTTAGGGCTTTAGGAACATTCAAGGACTGAATCTGAGTCCTTGATGGGGCTCCTGTCTGGCCTCCTAGGAATCTACTCTGTGATAATGAATCGAGACGTGTCATGGTAAGGCCAAATCAATGTGATTTTTGATAAACCAAGTCAACTGCTAAAAGGCCCAGGGACCAAAGGTAATGAGAAGGAGAAGGAAAATAATCAGGGGGGCCAGGAGGATGGGGATCAGGGTAAAAAGCCAAGGGGATTCTTTAAAGCTTCTATATAGAAGGGCAAACCCTGCTCCTAAGAGCAAGAGCCGCATCTTACTGCAGCCCCATAACGGCTAATAAAGGAAAAACCCACAAGATTACAATTCCCATACAATTTCGTTTCACAAGATCATGGTCTGGGTACAGAGTGATCATAGACGGGTAATTTGCGTCAACAGGTACATTTTTCCTGAAACCTCAAGGGGGGGGGTTATCAAGGTGGGAGTGGAGTTTACACAAAGTTCACAGTGGTCCTTCCTGGAACACCTGTAACTATCCCAGTCACAGTTGAGCACATCTCTTAACAGAAATCTCTTTACATTGTTAAATGGTTGCAGGGGAGATTGAACAATGGCTAAGTCAGGTTGCTCTTGGAACTAGATTTTTAGTTTTTATTTTCCTGGTGCTTGAAGTTTTTTCTTTTCCTGAGGCTTGGGGGTGTAAGCCTGAAGGGCTAGAGTCTTTCATTCCCCCATTTTCTTTTTGGCAAATTTTAATCTTAAAATTATGGTATTGCATTAGTAACTCATGGCCTATTTTAGTAACTCATGGCCTGTAATGGCCATGCATAGTTCATGTACAAATAGCCATCTGGTCTCTATGCCAGGGAGTTTTCTTTTGACCCAGCATTTCAGCCTTTTTTGAACAAGGAAAATGGGACGATGTATTCTCTTTCTGGAACTGCTTTAAGCTGGCATTGGGACGTCGTTATCAGGGCCCCTCCCCCAAAAGGCTGAAAAGCTGGTCAAATACTGGGCAGGGGGCATTTGTCAGTAGCATGTAGCTGCCTGACCCCATAGGGACAGAGAAGAATCATGTTAGCTGGGCTGGTCCACGTTAGCCTATAGCACGTCCGGA